TGCCTCCTCTAACTGAATAAGAAAGTTGGTGTAACCATTGGGAACCTTTTTCTTTTTTAATTTACTTCAATGTTTGTTAAACTTTTCTAGATTATAGGTTAATAAAATCACATTTAAATCTTAGAAAATAGAAAAGGAGAATTATATATTATCCTGCTATATACCATAACATGGTTAGCATTTTGATACACAGTCATGTGCTGCATAACATTTTGGTCAATGACATATTGCATATATGATAGTGGTCATATATAAGATTATAAAACCATATTTTTACTATACCTTTTTCTGTTTAGATAGGTTTAGATACACAGATACTTGCTATTGGAGGAACATGCTGACCAGGGTTGTAACCTCAGAGCAATAGGCTGTACCATACAGCCTTGCTGTGAACACCCTGTGCCTTCTAGGTTTGTTTAAGTGCACGCCTTTTTCTTATTCCCAATGTTTATCCAAATGCCAGGCTTTGGGGAGGCAGAAGAGGTTATCATGCTTAAATCAAAATACTCCCTTCAAAGTTGTCTGGAAAATAATGCTGGCTGCTTGTCCTCCTTTTATCCTGAATTTATCATCTCTACGGCACAGCAGTGCTTTTAGTGCCTGTATATTAATTGGCCTCCAGGGAAGTGTTGCCAGCGCAAGACTGGCTTACTCAAGAATCAGCCATGTAGGTAAAGCCATGTGTTTGGAGTGTTAGAAGGAGAAAGTCTTTTCTGTGGTTTCAGCTTGTGAAGTGTGACACTACTTCAGTGACAGCCACTCTGCTGCAGTGCAGGCACATGCGTGCATGTGAGAGAGATGTGTGCCACGGGAAGGATGTCAAACAGTATGCAGGGGTGGAATTAATGTAAACGTGTCCCAGCCCCCCACTTTTATTCTAGAAATTGGGGAGATGCTACTAGTTATGACTCTACCTAGAGAAACCTTTGAGAGAAAATTTTAGCGATTCCTGAGGTTGGGGCCCAGGAACCATGCTAACAAGCACTCTGGGTGATTCTGGTACAAAATTAGGGTTTAGACCTCAGCTCACCTTGATCAAGAATAAAACTGCAGGTGTGCTCTGCAGAAAATACATTTACATCTTCACAAGTGTTAATACATTACAAAAATGTATGGAAAGCTGACCTAGGGTTCATCTAGTGGCTACTCTTGCCCTGAGAAAGAAGCAAACAGAATTCTATCAGAGGTTGACTAAAGTTTATTTCAGAGAATATTAATCTCTGAGAAAATAGTGAACACAGTGACTTGAGATAACAGAATTAGGTTTAGTCTAGTGGCTTCCTTTCTGCAGAACTGCCCAGAGTGCTGGCGGGTCCAGCAGACACAGGAAGTGAAATTTCTGTTTCTTGACATGTTCATTGCCCTTTGGACCATCAGAGACTGTGCATGCCCAAGGACGCATCACTGTCTCATAATTTGGGGCATTTCTGAAACACAACAGGCTCTACAGTGGGTTCCAGCTGGGCTGCAGCTGGAAGAAGAGATACTAATTGCATTGTGGCTGGTGGGGAGCAGCAGTGAAGGGGGCTGTTCCAGCAGCCAGGGCTTTCTAGTGGGAGGAAGGCTTGCATAACTTGTGTCTGGCTGGTGAGGGCTCTCCATGGGTTCTGCCCAGTCCCAGAAGGCAGCTGGGAAGGGATAGAACCTCTGAGGGATAGTCCCCTCAGTAGCCAGCCCAGAGAGTTGAGTAACATGCCTAAAGCTCACTTGACTCGTAAATGGCAGAACTGGGACAAAAGCTCGGATCTTTTCTTCTGTTCCTGAGCTAATTCCCACTGCACCTCTGGAGAGTTCCACTTCATTTTTTTTTCTTTTGTGAGAGAAGGTCTTGCTCTGTCACCCTGGCTAGAGTGCTGTGGCATTGTCATAGCTCACTGCAACCTCAAGCTCTCAGGCCCAAGTGGTCCTTCTGCCTCCACCTCCTGAGTAGCTGGGATCACAGGTATGTGCCACCACACCCGGCTCATTTTTATTTTTAGTAGAGATGGGGTCTCGCTATTTCTCAGGCTGGTCTCAAATTCCTAAACTCAGGCAGTCCTCCCGCCTCAGCCGCACAGAGTGTTAGGATTATAGGTGTGAGCCACTGAGCCCTGCCCTCCACTTCATTTTTGACATCTGGAATTCAAAGGTTAGATGTTGTTCAGTGATGCGATTTGAAAGGGGCAAGAAGGAAAGCGTTACATTTCTTTTGTGCTCTGAGCTCCCGTTAGACCCAAACCTGAAGGAAGGACAATGAGAAGGCATTTGTAGAGGGTATAGACTGCTTTCTGAAATCTCATTTCCCCCTGTCCTGTCCACCAAAGGTTTGCTAGTTTCCCGCTCTCCCTGTCGTCACTGCACTGCTGCCTTCTCCAGGTGGTGTGGGTGTGGCCTGTAGGCAAGATGTCCTGGTGCCTGTGCCTTTCGCTGGGTATCACAGAGAGATGACCAGAGTAAGCTTGTCAGAAGAGCCTGTGTGTGTGAGGGGCTTCTGGGTCTGGGGTGCTGTTAGGCTCAGCATGACCCTGGAGCTTTAAAGGGGAGGGTTTAGGCACAATGTTCTCAGAACTCTCCTAGCCCTAGTGTTGGCAAGGTGAGATGCAGAAGCCCTGCCAAGCCCAGGCAATGGCCTTGTGAAGCCAGGCCTGGGAAGAGCAGTGCTTCCTGTTAGCAGGCTCACAAAAGCCACTTCTCCAGTACAGCTGTATCTGCAGGACAGACAGCTGTGTGGCCAGGCCAGTGATCCAGGCTCTGTATCATGTTGAACACCGTGGGGGGCAGGCAAGGAGGGGTTATTAACCTCTTTTGCAAGAAATCTGCTGAGGGCTGCTGCTTTAAATTACACTCCTGAGCGCCTCTTTCCTCCTCCCCAGACAGATGGTGGAAACTTGCCCAGGCATAGAACCTCTGAGGAAAGGCAGCCCAGAAGGCTGCCTGGCGCACTCGGGCTCCCTCTGCCGGCCTCTCCCAGAGGCCTCTGCTGGGCCTAAGGGCTGCTCTGACCCTGCTGGGGTACACAGGGACAGAGGAGGTGCCTTAGGTCCCTTAAGTCAGTGGTCCCCAGCTTTTTTGGCACCAGGGGCCAGTTTCATGGAGGACAATTTTTCCACAGACTGGGGATGGGTGTCGTGGTGGGGAGGGCTGCAGAGCTCAGGCAGCAATGCACAGCCCGTTTACTAACAGGCCACAGACTGGTAATGGGCTGCAGCCCAGGGGTTGGGGACCACAGCCTTGAGTGGTATTTTCCTGACCTCCTGAGGTGGCCCACACCCTGCTCTGTGCCTTCCTCTGTCTTCCCTCCTTCCCCACAGTAGACACTAGGCTCCCACCAGGTGGACTGAAGGGGAGCAGCACACTAGCCAGAACCCAGGGGCACCCACTGTACCTTAGAACCCACAGGTAGCAGATTGGTACCCTCAGTGTCCCTTGTCTCTTCCAAGGTCTCCCCTTTCCTCTGCTCAAAATGAGTAGCCCCCCTTCCTGTGCCTCCAGAGGGCCTTTACCCAACACAGGGGCTCGGAGTTCTGCAGTGAGACAGGTGATGGGGAAATGCAGGTTCCCAGGCCCACGAGGGCGATTTGGCAGGAGGCCTGGTGCCAGGCACAGGTCTGGCCTTGTTCCCCCACCCACTCGCCAGGGCCCCAAACTGACGTTGCATTAAAGCCATCCATGTGCGGAGATCTGCCTCCCCCATCTCAGCCCCTGCTCCAGACATGAAAGCACACAGGTACAGTTTTGAGGGGCTCAGTGGCTGCTTGACAGCTCTTCATGGGGTTCCATACGCTCCCAAACCCAGCTCTTTCCCTCCAACCCTGATCCACCCAGGCCACCATGCAGTGCCAGGCAGCGGAGTGGGTTTGAAATCCGCTCTGCCTTTTACCAGGTGAGGCTCACCTCACGGGAGAGCCAAGCACAGGGCCAGGCACGTGCAGATGCTTCCTCCTCCTACCTAGTCTCCCTGTCAGAAACCATGGTGTCAGTGTCCCAAGACCTGTGGGCTCCCTCCCCAGAGTTCTAGAACAGGAATGACTGTCTCCTCTAGCTTAAAACCCTCAGCGGCTCTGCTGCCTTAGGCAGTCCAGTCCCCCTGGCCTTCATAACCTGGCCACACGTGCCTTTTCGGCCTCCCTGCCTTTCACAGCCTGGCCTCTGCACCACTGTCCCCATGGCGGAGACCCTCCCACACCCCCCCAGCAAAACACCTCCTCTTCCCGGGAGCTGTAGCTGAAGCCACTTCTGGAACCTCCCCAAGATTTCCAGCATCTGCACCTTGTACAAGCACTAGCACACAAGTGCCACTGCATGGTTAGGTGGCCCAGACAGTTGCTCCAAGAGCCTGGCAGACGCTGAGTGTTCGTGGGAGCTCAAGGAAGGAGGCAAGAGCGTACACAACGTGCAGAGATACCTCCCGAGGCCTTGAGGTTCCGGACAACCACTCCCAGCATCACACCCACCACCTAAAGGGGCTATAAGGTGCAGAGATGCCAGGGCAGGCTGTGGAGACCAGGCTCCTGGGCTGTCTTGTAAGACCATCATGCAGGTGCCCCAGCCCCCTAGGTGTGAGGGTCACAGAAGGTCTAAGCTGGCATCCCCTGGTGAGACTGCTTCTAGAGGACAGGCAGCAGGCTGCTGCGGCCATGGACCACCCTCCCGAGGTAGCTGTTCACCCCAGCCCCAGCGAGAACAGAGGCCTGCCCCTGTTCGTTCACTGTGCTCACTTCTCACAGCAGCCCAGGCCACCAGCCCTGCTCAGAAACCTCAGGACCTCAAGGGCAGGGGACAGCAGTCAGTGCATCTGGCTACCAGGTGTCACAGGCCCCGTCCCTTACCCTGCCAGGCTGGCACTGGGACCTGGGAGGCAACAGAGAGAAGTGCTGGGGGGGCTGGGAAGCAGCGAGCTTCACACTCTACACAGAGCCAAGGACCACACTTCCCCCACCCACAGGGCAGCCCCTCTTGGTTCCTCATCCTGGGCCCGACAGCCAGACGGGGAGCCCCAGCATAAGACCAGACACTGCAGCGCCGGGCAACAACGTTGGTTTTAATGGCATTAACATCCAGGAGGTCACACGTCAGTTCTGGCTGGCAACTTCGAGGGGTGCGGGGTTGCTGCCTTGCTGGGCTGGGCTGTGGCCCTCCAGTCTGCCCCACAGCCTTTGAGAACTTACCACCTGGTCCCGGCCACCTCCCGGACCTGCCCCACTGAAAAAAGACAATTGCACTGACTGACAGATCCCCAGAGCGTCGGCTCCTGGCACACACCCGTGGGGGCCGTCACAGAGTTGACGAGGGCTTTGGCGTCTGCGCAGCGGCGGTCCTGGGCTGCTCCCGGGGAATAGTGTTTATCAAATGTGACAAAGGTTCTTTTACAAACTGGGGGTCTGGAAGATCTATTTCTGTGGCTCTAAGAGACTCTTGTCTCTAATGGCTTCTCTTGGAGCTACCGGAAGTTGGGCCTGGATAACGCTGTATTGGTTGGTTATTTATTTGTAAGGAATGTGTAAGGCATTTTGGTAAGTTGAACAGTAACTTCTTTTTCCACAGAGGAGACTCAGACAGAGGTGCCCTCCTTTGAGCTGCTACCGTCCTCCTGTGAACAAAGAGGGCAGAGTGAGGGACAGGCTGGGCCGAGGAGCTGAGGTAGAACCCCTTGTCCCCAAGGCATAGGGACAGTTGGGCCTCTCCCTGGATTAATGCCCCAGCCAGTCCACAGAACAGGAGCCCATAGCCAGCCCCAGCTGAGGATGCAGAGGAGAGCCGGGGCCCTGAGTCTGGGGGAGAAGTGTGTTCCTGCAGCCAGGGGGCTGGGCCTGGGGCAGGGGCACGGCTGAGAGGCCCCTGCAGGCTGTAAAGGGAGAACCTGGGCTGGCAGAGGGGGTCAGACGTCCCTTCCCACCGAGGAAGCGAGGGTGGGTGCTGGGCCTGGTGGCTGATGCCATGTTAGAATGTCTGCGTCCCCACCGCTGTTCCAGTTCCACTTCTCCTCCTTGGGGTTCCCAGCACTGTGCCCACCTCCCAACAGCTCGACTCCCACCCACTCCCAGTGCGGGCTGAGCCCCAAGTGCAGCCCCGGCAGGGACAGGGCACACTCACTGTTTTTTCCAGCTGTTCCTGCAACTTTTTCACTGTGTCTTTCTCCTTTGCCAACTGCTCTTGGGTTGTCTTCAAAAGCTCCTGCAGTTTGGTGGCAGCACGCCCCAGGTCACTCGTTAACTTTTTCTCTTTTTCTAGTCTTTCCTGTGGGTCACAGGGTTGGAGGGGGTCACATGACACCAGCAGGAGGGCCACCACAGCTGTGAACATGGGCCTTAAAGCCCTGGGCACTGGGCCCTCTGGGGCCACGAGGAAGGCAACTCCTGGTCACCCAGACAGACAGTGATGACTGGGAGGAAACAGTCGGTGTTGGCCCTTAGGTCTGTGTCCTGTCGTCTACCAGCTGCTGGGAGAACTTCCTGGGATAAGAACAGTCACTGCACTGTCCATTGCAGCAGCCATGAGATACGTGGCTGCCGCACCTGGCACAAGGCTGTGGAACCGACTTCATTTAAATAGCCACACGAACTAGTGGCTGCCGTGTGACCCCATGACATTGCAGGGTTAGGATCCTCCCCCAAATAAGCCTGGATCTGCTTGACAGGCCTCAAGATGCTCCCCACCAAAGGGAGACAAGGGTAAGCCAGTGCTGAGGGCTGGCCCAGTCTCCCCTTCTTGGCCTCAGTGGCCCCAGCCTGGCAGCAGATCCCACCCCAGCGCCCACCGCTACCTTCAGCTGCGCGGCCTCCTCCGTTTCTGAAGACACCAGGGGCCCAGCAGCGCGGAGCTTCTCCAGTTCTTCTTGTAACCGACATGCCAGGGTCTGAGCCTTCTCAGAGAGGGGAGCAGGGTCCGAGTGAGACGCCTTAAAGCATAGTTGAGCCATCAAACCCCACCAAGCACGCCTGGGGACCAGGGACACTCCTAGCCTAATGGGGAACAGCTCAAGCCTCTGGCTGGGACGAGCAGGCAGGACCCATATGTCCTATGAGGCAGGAGACAGCCTGAGAGCACCAGCCCCTCAGAAGACCTGAGGACACAGACCACCCACAGGCCCCCAAGGTGCCCAACTGGCTGGGCCCACCCTCCGGTGCCCCTTGGAGACTCAAGCCAAAAGCTAGTGGGGGCTGAGAGCTGGGCAGGGCCTGACCTCCTCAAACTCGGCCGTGAGCTTGTGCCTCTGCATCTGCTCGTCCTCCAGGACAGCCTCTGTCCGCTCCAGCTGCGTCTTCAGCTGTGTGGAGACATCACAAGCGTAGCTTGGGAACCTGGCGAAGCACCCTCTTGGGGGCACAGGGCTCCAGGGCAGGTTGAGACCGTGGGCCCACCTTCTAGCTGCTTCTAGTGCTTCCTTGGCCTTGCCCACCCTATAGAGGAATCTGCAACATGCCCCCCTTGGGGAGATGGTGCCCCAGGCCCGGGCTTGGAAGATGGCGTTTTTGAGGAGCGGCTGATGGGACCTCTGCAACCTCAGGTGCCATTAATGAGACCCACAGGATAAGATGCTTCAGAATACCAGTCCCACAGGAGTAACTGCCCCAGGAGCCACACCACAGCCATCCTGGTGACAGACCCCTGCCTCCTGGCGCAGCTATCACTTAGATCCAAACCCTGGAGAGCAAACATCCTGCTAGTGACATCCCAGCAAGTGCTACCACAGGGCCAAGTTCCCTTCTGTGGCTGAAGACCCTGCCAAGGGCTGCTCCCCAGCCCTGTGGGCACAGACCGTGAGTTACAGGCGCCCTCCTTGAGCCCCTCCCTCACAGGCTGTTAGGGCTAAGAGTCCCCCTCCCCCCTCCCTGGCCTCTCCACCCTGCCACCTTCCCTGTGTCATTCAGAGGATGGGGGCCCTCATCAGGGCACAGAGGAGTGGGGCGGAGGAGGCCAGCAGCAGCCGGCAGGCATTTACTCAGAACAGGCTGCGGAGCCTGCGCTCCACCTGGGGTTAGTGACGTGTCTGGGGCCAGCTCACCGCCCTAACCTCGACAGGGTCCAGCTCGGCTGGGGGTGCCTCTGGGGAGGCAGCCGGGGACCCAGCTACGTCACCATCCTCTACGTGGCTCTTCATCTCACTCAACTGCTGCCTGACCTGAAACAGGGAGGGTGGGTTTGTGCAAATACACGGCCGGTCACATGCCCACCTTGCACACACTCACACACTCGGGCCCCCCTTGGAGGACCAAGGCTGCTCTTGATAGTTAAAGCCCCTTCAGGGACCTGGTTTAGTAACCGTGACCTGTATCTGAGTCCCCAATCCCATAAAAGTTTGCTGGGGCAGGGACCAACGTCACAACCCCCAAACAGCTACACAGAGGCCTGGAGACCAATAAGCCCCTGGACGGATGAGATCTGTGTGACCTGGTCCATGGCCAATGCGCAGGGAGCCCTCTCGGAGGGCGAGGTCACCCCTGGTGGACACAGCCACACAGAGCTAAGGAATCCAAATGGAATAGGAGGCGGCCAACAGCACTGTCTACCTGTGTTTCTCCAGAATGCAGTTTATGTCTCAGAGCCCCTTCTGGGGTCTAGGAAGGATTATGGGATGATGTTCTTGCCAAACAGGGTCCCCCACCTCTAAGCTCCATCACTGGGGGTGACACATCTGATGCTCCATGAGGCCCCCAGACCACTGGGCCTCCAATTTGAAGGGCAATGGTGTCACCTGAGAAGGTTCCAATCGGGAGACCTGGCTAGGCCCCTTGGCAGGAGCTCCCCAGGGGATACAGGTGGCCTCGGGCCCCATCTAAGAGGCCCTGCTCTGAGGAGCAACCACACATGCAGGGGCTGCCCCCACACTGCTTTCCCTCCTCCACTCCAGCCCCAACGACAGAAGCTAAACTGCACAGGTGAAAGATGACAAGACACATTGAGGGGTTTTTTTCTATGCGTACCCTAAGCTTGGGGCATACCCCTGGGCCTCTCACCCAGATCTGGCTTAGCCAAAGACCTCGATGAGTGGCCCCAGACTCGGGAGACTTGGTCTGGGCAGTACCCAGCCTCTGGTGTGTGTGGTCCAGGTAAGCCCCAAATGACCAGGGGCCACCCAGGGAGTTGGGAGCACGTGCCGCACTCACTGGATGCTGCAGCCAGTGCCAGCTCTAGGGACCAGACCTTCTGTCCCTTCTCAGAAAGCCAGAGCTGCATATTTTTATTCAAAATCTCCCAATTTCTAAATGTTGTCAACCAATTCAAGATTTTAAAAGACCATACAGATCAAACGCAACACGTCTGTGGTGTTCCAGCTGCTGCTGGCAGCCCTGGCCCCGCACTGGTACCGGGTCCAGCGAGGCCCCACTGGGCCAAACATGCCAAGGAGCTGGGACTTGGGCCCCTCCGAGGCTGCCGGTGGTGGGCGCTCCAACCGCCTATGAGTGGGGCTTGTCTTTCTCTGCAGCCAGGCTCGGCACGGGGCCAGGCATGGAGCAGTCCTCCCTGCACAGCTGTGGGTTCGACTGAACGGTCTGGGCTGCCCCTGAGATGAGAAAAACCTGCAGAAGACTAGGAGCTTGCTGAGAGCCACAGGGCGAGGGGTGGCCAGGCCGGGAAGGACTCTCAGGCCTCCTGCTCTTGTGCTGCCAAGGGTTAGAGTGTCCCTGATGCCGCCAGGGGACACAATGGGCTCACAGGGAGTGCAGACCCCCAGAGCTCCCACTGCCTGGAGCAGGCAGCCAGGGGATGGGACAGGGAGCGTGAACACTCTGGTCCCCGCATCCACGGACCCAACATAGAGTTTTGGGCAAATGTACAAGAAGGGCCCACGAAGCCTGCCCCACATAGATAAACTGGTGACATGGTCCCCTCTGCTAAGCTTCGTTACCTTTGAGTGGGATATAAACACGCAACTGGCAAATTCGCTACACACACACAACTCCCAGGTCACACTTCCACCCCAGGAACGCCAAGTCCACCTACCAGGGCAAGCTCATCACTTTGTTTCTGGGCTTCGCTCTTGGCTGTATCCAGCTGAGATTGAGATTCTAATAAAAGTTGCCTCAACTTGGGGAGAAACAGCCCGGTGATGGGAAGGAAGAGAGAAGAGAAAACCGGCTCCTGTGAGTTTGCACCTGAACACGAAACCTAACCCAGCCATCAACCAACACCCTTGAGGAGAACATGGGACAGGGCAGGGCGCTGGGCTCCCGAGGCTTCTCGAAGACTTAGGAAGGACGGCATTCACTGCACGCCTGGCTCAACCCATCACAAATGTTTATGGATTATTTCTTGCAAAAAAATGCCAAAAGTTTGAGATTAAACCAGAATTGGGGGTGCCAGGTTTGTGCTTTCTGCTTCAGAACAGTCAGAAAACAGTATCTCATTTAATTAAATCCATTCCCCACTGGAAATGATGTCAGCGAGCCGGGCAGCAAACTCCCTCGCTGGGAGTTCCAGGGGCTGACCTAGAATGCCAAGTCTCCGTCAGAGGGTGAGGCTGCCTTTCTGAAACTTGCCCGAGACAGGCCTCGGGCCTCACGGCCCCAAGAGGAGTCCGCAGGAGTCAGGCAAAAGCTGAAACCCAGACTGTGAGGCCCACATGAGAGCTGCTCCGAGGCTGAGGAGCAGCAGCTCCAGGGAGGACCACACCCTGCGGGGCAGGGGCTGCGGTCCTGGGAGAGCCAGACTCACCCCTGCCACCTCCTTGGCATAGTTCTGGCACTCAGCGCTGGCGGCTGCCATGTGCTTCTCCAGCTCCGCCTCCAGATGCGAGGTGTGCTCCCTCACCTGCACGGACACGCACGGGCACACGTCAGCAGCCTCCAGCCGGCCGCAGGAGGGCGCTAGGCACAGGGCACAGGCCGGCCCTGGATAAGCAAAGGCTGTCAGGAGACCTCCGAGGCCCACGAGAAACCAGTCGTGGCAGTAGAACCCTTCCAGAAAATGGTGCCCTGAAGCCCACACGCCTGGTTCCTGACAGGCTCTCAGACCTCAGGCGTTGGGAGAGGACAGCCCTAAGATTCACGTGCAAAGGCAGGTAACAAAGTACCTTCTCCAAGGCCTGGGCTCGCTCTGGTGTCTGAAGAGAGCAGTGGGGCCACCTTGATTCTGAAGGCCATGACAGAAGCCACTGTTTACCAGGGCTGAGCAATCTGCAAAGGCCATTCTAGGGTGTAATGTCTCTCATCAAGGAAGAACAAGATAGACAAGATTCCTTGGCTGTTGGAGACAATAGCCTCTCTTAAGGCACGTGGTCCATGAGGGAAAAACAACTAGAGTGGTCTCTGTAATGTCACTTTCTAAGAGGCTCAAGGGACAGGAGAAAGGGCTCTCTGAGCAGGGCCCCACATACCTGATCTGAACTCTCAAGTTCTCCTTTTAGCTTCTCTACAATCTCTTCAAGATGTTTCACTGTGGCCTGTGACTGTAAAGCAAGGAAAAGGTCCCATCAGATGAGGACCTGGGGGACATCTCCTAACCGAGGCCATCCTGGGACCCGGGCAGGACCAGTCCAGCTCAAGAAACCAGGCAGCACCCACCCCTCCAAGCCCAGTCAGTCACTCCGGCGCCCTCCAGCAGCGTGTTCCTGGGGGTGGGCGCCTCCCAGAGACAGGCTCGGCTGCCATCCTACAATCGCGCTTTATGGGGCATCACCAAAAAACACCAACCGAGACAAGTCTCATAAGTGAGAGAGATGACCCTGTGAACTATCCCCCTGGACTTCACAGAATTCCAGTCCAGCTGTGTGTCTCAGAGGTCGTGTCTGGCTTCCCGAGCCCCAGGAGGTGTGCAGGGCCCGCTGGTACCTTCTGCAGCTCCTCCTCTGCGGCGCCCACTCTGGCCTTCCACACCTGCTCCTCCTCTTCCACGCTCTTCTGCAGGTCTTTGAGCATGCCCTCCTGCAGGGACGCCACACTGAGGCGGCCGTTCCCTCCCGGGCCCCACCCCACATGGATACAACTGCCTCTTCTGCCCCTCAGCCCCTGTGACACCCTGTCAGAGCTTCCCCTGCTGTGACTTTTTTCCAGTCCGCACAGCGTGGGGAGGGAACGTGGCTGCTATTCCAGGAGGGAGGGCCTCTGGCCAGTGCCAACACCAGCTGCAGGGCCTCACAGGGAAATGAGGTCTGCAACCTGGAAGGGGTCCTCAGGACTCTCCTCACTGTTGGGCTTTGCCACCAGCACTGCCCTTGTTAGGGGCCAAGGACCAGGAGCACAGGACGGGTTGGCCAGAAGGGAGGGATGGACCTAGCATCAAGCTTGGAGTCACCAGGAGATGGGGTTTCAACCCACAGTGAGCCACTTACCTCGCCCTTCCCCATGGCTGTCTGCCTGATCATCCTCTGTCATGACCGAGTCTCTCCTCCCCCGAGAGACCAGCCCTGAGCCTGCAGCTCAGCTCCCCCCCGCCACAGCACAGAGCAGTGATGACCTCAGAGCCTTAGCCAGCCCTTTACCACTCAGCCAAAGAAACGGCGCCCAGAGCAGGGAAGTGACTTGCCTAAGGTCACAAAGAGCCAGTGGGCTTCTCTGAAACACAACCTGCCTCCCTCCCTGTAAGTCCCGAAGCTCTCCTTCCTGGCAGTCCCTCGGGTGGGAGGGACCCCCAACCCACAACATTCACCAGTCTGGTCTCGCTCACCGTCTCGCCCAGGATGGTGCGGTACTGGTCACACTCGGCCTGCAGGGTGCTCTGGGTCTCCTCAGCCTCCCTTAACTTGGAGGCCAGGTCCTGAGGGCAGAGGGGAGAACAGGTGCCCAGTTAGCCAAGCACAATGCTTTTTGTTTGGTGCCCACTAAAATGAGGCTGGGCATCCTTCCATACCAGGGACAGGGGAGAGTGTGGGGACAATGGCAGCCCCACTTACCGAGGAGGGCTCCGTGGTAGCTGGTGGCTGCTTCAGCAGCTCAGAGCCTTTCTCTTTGAGCTCCTGCAGCCACTCAGTGTAGTTCTGCAACAAAATGTGCATGGTGAGGCCCAGGTATATTCCCTGGGAGCAGTGGGGTCCCCAGAAGCCACCCACCCTTCCTACCTGGTGTGCCGAGACAGAGAGTTCGGGGAGTAGAGCCAGGAGGGCCTCCCTGGTCTGCGTCTCAGTCAGGCGAAGCTGCTTCTCCAACTCCTCCTAGAGGGTTGGCAGGGGACAAGGGTGTCAGCTAGAGGTGCAGGGCACCCCTTAGGGTATTTACTGACATGCCTGGGTCGCCACCCCAGGAAAGACAGGTCCTCAGCTGTCCAGGGAGGGACAAGAAGCAAAGGAGAAGCCGAATGGCTCTGTGTCTGTGGACTGTCTGAAGACAGGGACTCGCCCCCGCCCATGCTGGCCAATGTTAAATAGACGGAGCTCTAATGGAAGGAGGGGATAGGGCTGCCCGGCTGGCAGGCTCCCCCCAGCAGGTGTGCGGGCTCCATCAGCTCTCCACGTGTGGGGAGGGGAAAGGGGTCCAAAATGATGTGGGGTCAGGGTGGGAAGAGGCAGCCGGCGGACACTCAGTGTTTTGCAGGCAGCAGCTGTGACGGGGCGGCATGTGGAGGAAGAGCAGCAGCACGTCTCCCAGCAGCCATCACGACAGCGGGCCCAGTGTTCCCCTCTGCAGAGGCAGAGCCCACTCAGAAAAGACAGGGCACTTGGCCTGGCCCGTCTCTGGTCATGTCCCTCCTGAAGTGTGACTCTACACCCCTTGCTGTGCTGGGCCTGGAGCCCCGGCTGGTCCTTAAGAAAAAGCCAGCAGCTCCCATTCAATGCACAAAAAAGGAAAAGGAACCAAAAGACACAAGGAGCCATGAAGCAAAGCCTAGGACCATGGCGTCCCCTGGGGACAGAGGACGGGGCCCCTTTTCTGTATGCTGTGGGTGACTGCTGGGAGTTTCTGCCTAAAACAAAGTTTTATCTGATAACCTGTCCCCAGTAGGTTGCACCTGCCACCATCCCAATACCACCTGGCCTGGCCACAGCACACCCTGGCCTGCTGTGTGCTCAAGAAGCCGACCCTGCTGGGCTCCCCAGTTACCCACACAGTGCGGGAGGCCTGCGCGGACCCCCATTCAGGTCTTCTCATCTGTGAGTCCAAGGAAAGCCACAGAGAACCTGGGTGCCACCTTCTGTCATTATCTGGCTGCGTGACCATGAGCAAGTCACATGGATTCTTTGGTCACAGCTTCTGCATTTGCCACAAGGTGGCCAGATGGTCTCCGAGGTCACTTTTGGGTTAAAAGTTCAAGATTCTAGGAGTCTGATTACAGCTCTAACAGCATGGCCTGAGGCCAGCCTTCAACCCTGCCCCATCTTGGGGCCCTCATCTGAGATGACCCACAGGCTCCCTGGGAGAGTCATGGGAGTCATGGCAAAGCTCACACTAGTGACTACTGGGACAGACATTCCTGTATGAGTGAGGCTGGGAGAGAGATATGTGACCAAAAAGGGAGGTGAGGCTTACTTGCCACTGCCACTGGTCACATCTCCTGCCAGAGCCTCTGTGCTGGCTCCTGACTGGCCCAGGGCCCCAGAGGTGACACAGGGGTCCTAGACACTTAGAGACACCAGCTTTCACCTGAGCTGGGGGCAGAGTGCGGGGAGCATGGAGCCAATGCAGACTTCACTCCCTGAGTGTGTGCTGCTAAGCTCACTGCTCCCCCATGACTTAGTGTAAATATTACTCATGGAACCTACTGGGCCATGAGCTCAGATGGCCCGAGAAAGGAGGATTATTCACACAAAACGCCACACAACAACAGCAACGTGGAAGTCCACAAAGGCTGTACAACATGGGGCTTGGTTCCACCCAGTGGCTGTGCTCAGCCCTGTGCCCTCATGACACAGGGTCCAGTGGGGAAAGTCAACCAAGGACACACATCTTTGTCCTCTCATTTTAAGGAGGAAACGAAGGCAGGAAGGGAAGGGAAAGAAAGGCGGGGAGGGAGAGAGGAGGAGCCGCAGGAACCCAGGCTGCCCTGTGCGCAGGCTGTGGACCAGCAGGGAGTCTGGGGACGGCAGGTGCTGACCTTGGCCTGGGTCAGGGAGCGCAGCTTCTCCTCGCAGGCCCTCTCAGCCGTGGCCAGTGCCTCCATGGCCTTCCAGTTCTTCTCTCGGAGGTCCTGGAGGGGCCATAAGGGAAGAGTCAAGGGCTCATGCAGGGTCAGTTGTTGACACATGCCCCATGAGCCACCTCAAGCCAATCTTGGGCAGGGCAGGGCCAGGCCTTGAGAACCTCCCCAATCTACACAAGATCCCACAGGAGACCTGCAAAGGGACAAAATGCCCTTTACTTGGCCCACACCCATGTGGCCTCTCCCTGGCAGCACTTAACCCAAGGCCAGGGTGCCACAGCTTGATGCGGGTGGTCATGGCTCAGGGGTGAAGAGGCAGGTGCCCTTTAGAGGAAGACACTACCAGTATGAGGGATGAGGGAGGGCCAGCCCATCTCTGCCACCAAACATCCAGCACTGGCCTGGCTGGCTCTGGCAGAGCCTGGCACAGGGAAGATATGACCGAGGCCCCATGGTCTCCGTAGAGGAGATGGTACAGTGGGCCTGTCACCTGCCTGGCTTCCTCCACATCCCCTCCTCCTGGCACCAGCCTCCCACTTGTAGTGAACACAATGACCCAGGCTAGGCCCATTAGCACTGTATCTCCATCATGGGGACTGGCTCTACTCTGAGGCATGTGACACAAGCTGATCCAAGGGCAGTCAGCGCTGTGTCTTCTGGTGGAACTGAGGGTGGGCAGAAGACCCCTGCATACCCGACACCCCCAGAGGAAGGCAGGCCTCAGCCACTGGTCCCAGCACAACAGGGTGCAGAGCAGAGCTCAGCCCTCCCCTGACCAGTCTGGGCAGGGGCCACATGGCAGGTGTCTTCAGACTGTCATGGAGGAACCATTCCTGGCCAGCTACACGCTGCCCTGGCCTGCTCTTCCCAGCCCGGCTCACCCAACCCCTCCCCACTCACATTGTTCTTCACTTTCTGCTGCTCCACAGCCTCTCTGAGCTCAGTGGCCTCCTTCTCCAGACACGACACTTGGGACTCCAGGTCCTTGAGTCTGAGGAGACACAGCAAGGTCACTGCCTAGGCTCCAAGGTGCCATAGCCCCCACAGGTCCTGTCTTGGGAGGGCCCCCTTCCTCTGCCCAGAGCGCCTGGCCTGAGGCCCCATCCTGGTGAGGAACATCCCCTGGGCTGAGGATGGTCCCCTCCGACTGCCCCCTGCCCCCTCCACCTGACAGGGCGCAGGCTCTCAGGGAAGCCAGGCAGCTGCCCCAGCTCCTCCTCCCCCATCCAGAGCCTCGACCTCAGAGTGGCCACGGTGGCCAGCATGGGGGGGACCTGGACTGTAGGCTTTCCAGGATGTTCTTTCTTCCTGATAGATTCAGTCTGTCCCCACAGAACATGCCACATGGCCCTTCTCATGGCCACACCTGGCTTGCAGAAGACCTGGGATGGGCATCCTCAGGAGATACCTGAGCTCCAGACTCGCACAGTGTGACAGCCCCGGAAACTGGGCACCACTGCTCGCAGCAGATCGCAATAGCCACGACTCCACCTCCAGTGCAATGGACTATCTATCCTTTGTCCAAACCCCAACTCTCCTGTGCCCAAGGGCTCCCTCCTCAGTCTATGGCCTGGGAGCTGGAGTCAGCCTGAGACGACCCCCAGATGCCGTGTAATTGGCAAGACACTGGTCCCCATCTTTCCCACACTTCCTTCCAGCTGCAAAGACCCAGTGGGCCCTGTCCACCCTCATCATGCAAAGTGAGGGGCTGATGCTGCTACAGAACCGTAATAGCGGCTCTGAAGGACAAGTTCCACACAGACACTTTAATATGCCACCTTCTGCATGAAGATTTAGAACAGATGAGGAAGGCTCCGGGGACATATGAACTAGAGATTCCAGAGTGGTCAGCAGGGACCTGAATCACAGTAACTCAAGCCACTCTTAAGCTATAGGAAGACGTCCCCCCACGGGGGGTAGGGGGGGTGGTCTGTCACCAGCCTGGGGAAGGGACATAAGTATTTCTATTGCTTATTATTGGCTCTGACCAAAAGCTTTTTGAAAAACACCTTTCAAAGGCACACTAACACTGAACAATTTCAGCACAGGCCAAGCAAGCTGGTTGCCCCAACTACCCTGTCTGGTAATGGACGCTGGCCCTGGCACAGCCTCATTTTTTTAATCTTAAATACAATTTGCACCTCGTCTTGAAGACAGCTGTTGGCTTCCTGGGTGTCAGATTGAGGCTCACAGAACCCTGATGCCACGCTCAGAACCCTGCTGGGGCCCACAGCCTCTTCCTGCAGACAACAGTCTCCTCCAGCAACCACCCCACGAGCGTCCCCAGAGGAACAGGACCCTGAGGAACGAGAGTCTGCAGCCCAGTGGCAAGGACACACTGACAATCGCCTGCTTGGTGGCCACTGCCTGAGTTCCAGAACATTTGGGGCTGAATCACTCCTCTCTATTCTAGAATAAGATGGTCCAACTTAGACAATACTTTTAGATCAAAGTTTTGAGAAGGAAATTAAAAAAAAGAAACAATTTCTGCCAGACACATCTGCATGATGCAAAAAATTAAAATTGATCCTGTTGGCAACATGAGTTAATTAGCCTAGGAGCTTACTGTGTGGTCCAAGAGTCTGCTGGTAAAATACAAGAGCAAAAACCTCAACAAACATGACCTTCTCTACCCAACAAACCATCAAACCATCATGAGAAACAAAGCGAGCCCATGTTTTCCAGGAAAGGTGGAGAGGTTTTAGTTGGGGGTCTTCCATGAGGCACTGTGGGCCTTTGTGTGGCTGCTCCTTTCCCAGTCCCCAAGCCATAGAGCCCAATGCCAGTGAGCATGGGCTGTGGCCTGGGGAGCCACGTCTGCTCAGCAACACACAGGGAGACGACTGTTTGGCAACAACAGCCAGGGTGAGGGAACCGGCCCGGCTGAGCTCCCAAGACTGTCGGCAAATACTCAGGAATGCATGGCCCAGGGCTGACAGTCACAAGGACCTGGGCCCCTGACTTGAGCAGTCCCACCAGGTGTTGGCTGCGGCCCTAGCAATAGCAAACAAATAGTCCCCAAGTGTGACCTGGCACTGCCGACACTGAAGGAAAACAAGATCTGGCCAACAGTGAAGTTACCTCATGGACAAAGGAAAACAACTGCACTGTTGTCAGCTCTAAGCTACACCAACGTCCCAAAAACGTGGTCCAGCAAAAGCCTGGATGACAACCTGGGCTCTCCATTCTGGGTTGTGCAACCATTTTCCTGTGAGATTGCCAGATTTCAGTGTCTGAAACCCTCGTTTATAGACACAGAGAGAACTCTCCAACCTCCAGCCCTTCCTCTTATAGAGATGGAAGGATGGAGGGACATCAAGTGGCAGGAAGTCTGCCCACCCCTGCTGGGCACTTACCACTCCCCACACGATGAGCTTTGCTCCTTAAGAGCGGACAGGGAGCTCTCTGCAAGTCTGCCTTCTTTCCTGCCCAGGCTGGTCCCCCTGTCCTCTAAGTCACTGGCCTCTCAAAGGGGCTCTTCCACAGGAAGCACCTAAGCACCCCACCGAAAGCCCCAGTCCCCAGTGTCCTTGGCTGTCCCCTGCCTTGCTAGCTTACCGGGTCTGCTGCTGGTCGGCCTCTGCTCTGCTGGCCTGAAATGAGACAGAAAGTTCCTTGGTCTCCATGAGACTCACCTGAGCAGCAACCAGCCTGGTGGGAGCTGCCTGCCCCATGACCTTCCCCTCCCCTCCTGCTGCCCGGGGAGGAGACTGACCTGGGCGTCCCGAGCCTGGCCCGCCTCCAGCAGGGCCTCGATGGATCGGATTCTCTCCATGAGCTGGGAGTTTTCTACCCTGGCGTCCGTGAGCTGCCCGTGGAGACCACTCAGCTCCTCACATTTGCTCCTCACCTCTGCTTCAGAGGACTGTAACTTGCTGCGCAGCTCTGTGGCAGGGCAAGGGAAAGAGACAGGGTCAGCTGCTGGAAAAGGCCTGGGGTGAGTGCCCTGACAGCTGCCCCTTTGGGGCACATGGGACACAACAGCTCCCTCCCCTCTTCCTTTGTATGCCTGGGGTTCTTAAGACATACTTCAGACCATGGGGACCTCTTATTAGCTGCCAAAGAAAGTGACACCCTGGTGTCATTCCTGAGGACCATCAGGGTAGAATGAAATGCCTCAGACCACTCATGAGAAAAAGATAAAGGCTGGAAATAGACTCCAGTTCATATTAGTGGGGACCAAAAATTCTTTAGAAAGTGACTATGTGGCCCCCACTGGCCATGCCTCCCCCACCTCCCTGGCTGGGTCCCTCCTCTCCCTGACCTTTCGGTGATCCTCAAAAGCCATGCCAGGGTGTGACTTTATTTTGGCTCCCTTAAGGTGTCCTCCTCCTCCTCTCCTCCCCAGGGATGCCGCACTCTCCCCCAGGCCTGATCTCGTCTCCAAGGCCTGACTCTGCCACCTGCCACTTCCAACTGAAGCTCTGATTAGACAACTCAGCCCTGCTGCTCTGTTTTCCTGCCTCCACCTCCTGCCCATCACTGCATTTCCATGTCCACCACCTGCCAGGCTGTCCTTGCTGTGCCAGCACTGCTATGGCACCTGGGCCTGGATAACTACAAGAGCCTCACCCTGGTTTCCCTGGGCCACTCCTGCCTTCTGCTTTGTGCTCCCGGTGCCAGGGGACCCGGAAGTGCAGATGAGACCACATCACTCCCCTGCCTCAGGCACTCCTGCCACACTTACACAGTGCCTAAACTCTTCACAGGGATGGTGACCAGGGCCTGCCCATCTGGGCCCACATCAGCCACCAACCCTCTCATTCCAGCCACTCTCATTCACCTCCTGTTTCCTTTACAGGCCAAGTTCACATTCGTTCCCCTCTCAGTGCCCTGCGCTGGCTAGCCGCCGCCACCACTCATCCGCCCCTGCCTCAGAGGCTTCTGCGACCACCCAACCTAAAGCCAGGCCTGGAGCAAGCGAGCTGGGTCCTGGGGCCTCCCAACACCCATTTTTTTTTTTTTTTTTTTTTTTTTTCAGATTCTCACTTTGTTGCCCAGGCTAGAGTGAGTGCCGTGGCGTCAGCCTAGCTCACAGTAACCTCAAACTCCTGGGCTCAAGCGATCCTGCTGCCTCAGCCTCCCGAGTAGCTGGGACTACAGGCATGCGCCACCATGCCCGGCTAATTTTTTCTATATATACATTAATTGACCAATTAATTTCTTTCTATTTATAGTAGAGACGGGGTCTCGCTCTTGCTCAGGCTGGTTTCAAACTCCCGACCTCAAGCAATCCGCCCACCTCGGCCTCCCAGAGAGCTAGGATTACAGGTGTGAGCCACCGCGCCCGGCCTCCACACCCATTTTTATAAATGAAGCTTTATTCAAACACAGCCAGACCTGTTTCCTTCCCTGGTGTCTACGGGCACTTTTGCTCACTGTGGGAGACGAGTAGTTGTGACAGAGACCGTCTGGCCCATGAAGCCAGACACCATCCGCCCCTTCACAGAAACAGTGCCCTGACTTAAGTCCCTGCAGAGAGCACCACTGTGTGACCCTGTCATTGTGGGTGTCCTACTGAGCCCAGCACTCATGGCAGTCACTCAGACATACTGGGGAGGCAGGGACTGTGGAGCTCTCACCAGCACGGTCTGCCCCTTTCTCCAGGGACTCTCCAGGCCCCACCCTTGCCACTTTCCTCTCCACTTTCGACTGTGGAGCACAGGGGGGACCACAGGCCCCACCCTCAAAACCCGGCTTGGCCTCATAAGCTGAACGAGCCGGGAGAGCAGAAAGGCCTAGAACAGATACAACGTGAGAAGACCAGCTAAGGCCTCAGACCACGTGGGTTCATCCACAGCCACATGGCTCCATGGGCAGAGAGACTGAACCCAGGCCTGGGGGGAGGTGGTGCCTTCCACCCCCACCCCCAGCGCTTATAGGCTGTGCACCTAAGCTCCACCCCCAGGCTCCACCCCCAGTGTCCTGCTCACAGTGGACAGTCTCCTGGCATCCTGACTGTGCCTCTAGCAGTCTCCTGACAGGGCACAATCCTTGCCTGCTGGACTTTCTGAGGGACAGAGTCAGGGACCTGCACTGCCCTCACTGCAACAGGACTGGCCTATGCAGTTCTGGCCCTGGCAGTGGTGCTGGGACAGTGTACAGACCCTGTAGCCTGCACCCTGGGCCCCACCAGGAACAGGGTGCCACCCTCACCGGCCATCTGATGCTGCTGCTCCTGGGCCTTCTCAGCGTCCGCCCGGAGGCTGGCGTGGCTGGTCTGTGTGCGGCAGAGCTCCCGGCTGACCTCGTCCAGCCGCTTCTGCAGGGCCTCCTCGCTCTCCTTATGCGACGCCTGGGGAGGAGCAGAGGGACATGGCAGTGAGGATGGGGGAGGAGGCCGGGCCTCATGAGCCCTGTGGCTGAGGACAAAGCTCTTTACACCAGCCATCCCACCCCCACCAAAGCCCGGGACAGGCTCTGGTCTGTCTGTGCAAGAAAGGGAACTTAGTTCCTTAATGCTCTAGAATCTATGCACACTTCACCCCAGCCAGCGCTCTTTCAAGGAGAGATGGGAGCTGCCAGGGACCTATACTCACTTCCCACTTCTTTTTTGGGTTTCGATATTTTTATACTCTCAAGTGATTCATGAACACGTGCTTATTGCAAGAGTCCAAAGATACCGATTCAGAGTCAACCAGCAGTTTCCCTGATGTGGCCCTTGATCCTCTCCCAGAGGTGGACAGTCAGGAGGCTTCCTCCCCCGCAGCTGTGTGCGTTATATGTGCACAGGCACGGCACATGATTAAGATCACTCCCTATGGCAGTTCTCTTAGTGCTTTCATTTAATATTAGGTTGAACCACACGAAATTGCCAGGGTTCAACTATTTTTTGACCTACAAAAATGGCAGTTTCGTATGGTTCAATAGTCTCTTGGAGACATTTCCACATTACTACAGCTAAGTCTACATCTCCTAGTTTAAGAGCCACGCAGAGCTTTATGTGCCCGATGTTTGCCCCACTCCCTATTCAGCAACAGGCAGGCTACTCTCAATCACCGGCAGTCCCAACCAGTGCTCCAATGGACACCCCAGTCCGTGTGTTAAGGACTCCCCCACACTGGCTTCCTGAAGCAGAAATGCTGCCCGAGGCTCCACTTAACCAGCCCTCTGGAGAACCAGATCACTAACAGTTTTTAACTGACAAGTTTGGGAGCAGGACCAGGTAAGGGAGCAGTTAACAAATGACTCTTGTTGACTAAAATGAGACTCTAAGGTGATCTCGCAACCCCTTTAACAAGCTGGTATCATCCATATCCCAGTTTTCATTCTCTTTTAGGGCCATGGCTACATAACCTGGTGCTAGGCCACCAGGGCAGAGGCAGGTCTGGAGCCAGGGGAGCCACTGCCAAGGATAAACCCACCAGGCCATGGATAAATGTGGACTGTGCAGCAGAAAACCGGGGGCAGCTTTAGGATAGGCAGTGTTTTGTACATTAGAATGTAGCAGGGGATCTGCTCACTTCCAACGCCAAGGTAGGAAAGGAGAGGAAGGAGGGACTGCAAGCCGCTCCCCAGAGAGCAGACTGGTTTCCCCTTGACACAGCACCCTGGGCAGGAGCCTGCCTCCCTCCTGCTGGTTCTAATACCCTCGTGTTTCTGCCTTGACTGAGATACACAGGGCAGAATCATTTTACAACTGGAAAAAAACCACCACCAGCTTCTTCCTCTTCTTTCTTTGAGAAAAGGGATTCCAGACTGCAGAGAGACTGACTGCACGTTTTTCCATTAATTATTGACGCTAATTAGAACACCGGTTCCGGCAACAGTCAAACAAAAACCCATCCACCTTTAGGAACCAAAAAACCTTAAAATCTTTAATGGAAACCACGTGCATTATGTCTTTCTTAAGATCTGAGATGACAACTCTCCTTGCCTGGAAGGAGAATGTGGTTAGCAACAGCCAATCACACTGACTACCTTCAGAAGCTGGTCCTGTGGCTGGGCAGGCCAGCTGGGGACTTTCATAAAACCCTCCTGGATTTCTAAAACTCAGTCCATCTGAATCTGTCAACCCTCAATGGGTACTTTCTTCCAGGCAGGCCCCGACAAGCCAGCCATGGCAAGACAGGCAATGGTGGGGGCAGTATCCGCTCCCTGATGCCAATGCTCCAGGTCCCAAGGTCAGCACGGGAGGCCATGCCTGCCCTGGTCCCTCAAGAGCTGGCACACAGGAAAGGGGCCCCTGGTAAAGGAAGAACAGTCACAAGACAGAGCCCCATTTTCACCTCAGTAGAACACAGAAAGACACTCTAGAACCTAAACCACCAGTCTAACCTGAAGATTTCCTGAATGGGACTTTGTAAAGGTTATACTCATTGAGCTCTTTTCCCATAAGGCACTGTTTTAGTCCTAGATACTCAGTGTATCAGCACAGCTAATCTCCACAACTACTCTGTTGGACTACCACTGTCCTACCCATAGCACAGATGGGGAAACTAAGGCTGTGAGATAAATCGATAGGAGGTGGCATAGGTAGGACCTGAACACGGCAGCTGACACCAGGGGCTTCACTGTCAATTACCCCAGGCATAGAATCTTTGGTATCAGACTGGAAAGCATGGACCCCTCTGTCCAGCCCCAGGCTGTGGATAAGGACCCCGAGACCTGGAGAGGACAGGAGACACTGGAGTCTGTGGCTTACTCGTGAGAACCAGGGCCAGGCCTCTGCCCTGGGCTGGACCCTTTGTAGGAATGACACATGATGGTGACAATCTGAGCAGGAGGGCAGCACTTCCAGCTCCAGATATACCAGAAGCATCTGGGAGCCCTTGAAACATAAGCAGGGCCAGGCCCACCCTAAAGGTTCTGATCTCACTGGTCTGGGTGGGCCTGCTTTACATGAAAATCACAAAATACCAAGTTGCCCATCTCATTTTCTTCCCAAATCAAACCATGGTTTTTGTCCATGTTCTTATTTAGTCCCCTGTACACATTTAAACATCACTCTTATAATTTAATGTCTCATTCTAGTTCCTTCCATGAGATAGCCCGATTCCCCCATGCACTGCAGCCTGATTTCCATGGCAGAGCAGAAGAAGGGTCCAAACCCCAGAGGCTGAGAAAGAAAACTCATCTGGCCTTGAGGCCAGAGACTGTATCTGTGGCTGCAGTAGCACATGGTGGCAAGCATGGGAGACAAACAGCTCTGGAGCTAGACTCAGGGGGTTCGAATCCTGCATCTGCCACACACTGGCTGTGTGAATGTGGAAGAGCTGCTTAACTTCTCTGTGCCTCACATTCCCTTATGGGTAAAATGCAGAGTTCCAGCACCTCCCTCTTAGGGTTTCAATGAGAATGAGCTGAGTTAATGCTTGCAAAATGCTCACAACAGTGCCTAGCACACACAAAGCACCCAGTGGGGTTAGCTATCACTACTACTGAGACCGAGGTGGCAAGTTTGAGTCCTGGCTCCGCCAACATCTCCAGGGGTCAGTCTTTGCTAGAAGGGGATGCCCAGTGTGGCTGGGCCAGCCCTGACACAGACAGGCTTGGTGAGCAGTGAACGGAGTACTGAGATGGCCAAGCCAACTCACCTGCAGCTGCAGGACCTGTTTCTCGAAGGCAGCTGTCTTGGCTTCCAGAGCCTTCCGCTGCTGCTCCTCCTGCCGTGCGGCCTCCGACTTCTCCACCAACTCCTTGCTGACCTTGCTGAGCTCCTGCCGGAGTTTGGCCAGTTCCGCGTTCTGCCTGCAAGAGTTACCAGACCATGACTGAAGGACAGAAAGGGGTGATAGGGACTGGTGGTCTGAACTTTCCCTCCGGGAAACTGGCTCTTTTGTAAGTAGTCACCCAAGTCTTGGCGACAATACCAAAGCCCCTGTTGGCTGGGGTTTGGTGTGTGTCTTGCTGAGATGTTGTTTTACCCACATGGCACATGGACCAGGCAGAGCAAGAGTAAAACATACACTAAAGATCCTCCCAGACACCGCTAGAAATGGGGACAGAAAAAGGCAAGACACTGCTCTCCTCATTGTTGATCTGTGTGAACAAGCCCAGGGTGCAGGCCGGCTCACCTTGACCCCAGCAGACCTGGGGGCAGCAGTCCCCGTGGGATCCCCCAAAGGTCCACTCGCCCCCTGCCCCCTTCACTGGACCACAGCCAGGCTGGGGGAGGCAGCCTGAAGCCAGAGCCTGAGGCACCTGCGGAGCAGACCCTTTAACACTGTACGTCAACAGCTGGGTCTTGGGGCCTGGGAGGAACATTTCAGAGTTATAGAAGGAGATTTGATTCAAAGGCAAAGAGGGCAGCTGGAGACCTGCCTTTTCCAGTGTGAGGGGTGTACTCAGGATGCCGGCTCCTTCGCTACCAACCACTGCCTCCAGGCAGAGGACTGACTGTCCAGCCAAGGGACACCACCAGACAAGACGAAGGGGACAGATAGGACTGTCCACAACCCTGGAGGGCAGCACCAGGCCTAGAGGAGGTGGGAAACCTGGCCAGCTCTGCTCTACTGGCTGGGGGGTGGTGAGTCCTACCTCTGACTTGGGGTGTTTCATCTGCACTGGGGAGGCTGCACACAAGCCTCTGCGGCACCCTAGCGCTTCACAGTGCCAAGGTCAGGAGACCTGGGGTGGAGGTGCTGTACCAGCTGCATCTGCTGCAGCCTCATGGAGCCCTCCCTGGCTCTGGAGCCCCTGCCACGGTGTCCCAGTAGAACACTCAAGCTTACTTGCTCTCCACCTGGCTCGTGGCCTGGTTCAGGGCGTCCCTCAGGATGGAGTTCTCCTGCTGCAGACGGGCCAGCTGAGTGTTGGGGCCGTTCTCCAGCTGCTCCTGAAGAGTTCGGATCTGAAAAGTCATTGACAAGGGCATCAGAGTGCTGCTCAGCCTTATAAGGAGAACTGATTTCCAGGCTGGGGTTTGCGAGGCCACCGCCCACAAGAGAAAACCCCCAGGTGGCTCCACCTTCTTCACATGGATGGTGGGAGGATCCCATGAAACAAGAGGCCTGCGAATCCCACAGCTCTAGCATCAGGGGCTCGAGGACAACTGTGACCCCCAGGGACACACCTCTATCCCTTCTCACTGCTCATGGCCTGCACTCGGCCAAGCATTCATTCCAGAGCCTTGACATGCTCCATACACATCAGCCCCGAAGGTCACATGGTTGACTGCTGAGATGCAGCACACAACCACAAGCCGCAGCCTATCACCATCTGAAGAATCCTCATTTCCTGCCCTCTGACCTCCCATGGCACATCCTGAGATGTGTGGTAGGGAGGAGGCCACGGCCCTGATGAGCAGGGCAGGTGCTAGCTAGAAGGTAAGAATCAGGCTGACTGAGGCCAGTCTGGGCAGGTGGCTGTCTGGCGCTGGCCTCGAACCCCATGCTGGAGCCACATGACTTCAAGCCTCTTGTTTTATGGGATCCTCCCAACCACTGGGGAGGAGAAAACAACATTACTCCAGGTTTACATGGAGGCTGAGAACTTGACCCACAGGCACCCAGGAGTGGCCATTTGAGGCTAGGTGCTTCTGAAATAGTCTTTAATATGCATTTTACACTTTCCTGGTGACTAACATTAAACACACACTTAATGGGCTACCAGACACTGGCCAAATGCAACAGCCCCGGCCCCTCCCAAAGATAACAAGAGCCTGCAGACCCCTGTGGACATCCTCAAGCCCCTTCTCACGCTTTGCCACTGGCCTGGCTCCTCAGTCCTGGCCAGGACCCACCTTGCCCTGCAGCTGCTGCACCTCTTTCACATGCTCCCGGTAGCTGGCCTGCATGCGCGTCTGCACAGCTGTGATCTCCTGCTCCCGTGCCACCAGCTGCTTTTTCACCTTGGCCTCCACGGCTGCTGCCTTGGCTTTTTCTGCAGCCATTTCCTGGGAGGAAAATAGAGAGAGCGACTGGTCAGGCATGTGGGGGTGGGAGCGGGAGCAAAAGCAGATCAGAGGGGACTAAGAGCACGACCAGGGCCAGGAGGAAACTTGAGAGTAGAGCACAGACCCCTCCTGCTGGCTGAGTTCTCAGACCCACACCAGCCACAGTGGGAACACTGAAACCAGGACTCCCCCAAAACCCCTGCTGGCCCTGGCCAGTATGGGCCTGATGTTAGGCCTTGATCAAAGGGAAGGCAGCAGACAAAGCAGGAGCTATGAAGACATGTCACACTGTCCCTGGCTCTCCAGGGGCAATGGCTCAGTCCTGCTGTGATGACAACACTTGGTCTGGCTCAGCTACCAACATCCAGCCCTGGGGAATGCCACTTCTACTCAAGTGCCTTTGTCAAGGTTAAGAAGGTAGAGACCCTTGACGGCTAGGGTGGGGACAGGGACAGCTGCCCATCCTGCCATGTCTGGGTCTCCATGGGCAGTCATTTTGTCCTCCACCTCAGCCCAGGGGGACATCCGCTCTGGTCAATGCTGGATGAACACAGGAAGCTGAGTCTAGGGACCCAGTGTCTCAGGCAGGGGCAGAGCACAGGGTGAGGAGGGCTGGCCATGGCCTGTGCATCCCAGAGGATGGCAATGGACAGAGGTCACGGGGAAGCAGGGGTGGCAACTTGAGAACAATCAGCACAATGAGTGCCATGGTGGGCACTTCTTGTCCAGCGGGCCTCTGGCCAGATCAGTCACCTGCCTGGTGTGAATACATACTGCAGACACAGCTGGCCTGGCAACCAGGGAGTTGAGGCCCTGCCCCTTCCCTGTCCTGGGCAGCGGGCCAGAGCAGTGGGAAAATAGTCACTCTCCCCAGACCAGGACTGCCAGGGAAGCCCATGCCAAAGGCCAGACTGTCCCTCCTACCTGAGATGGAAGAGAACCCCGGGGAGGGGCTGGGCTCATCAAATGGCCCCTGGGTGCCAGTGCAGTTCCAGGAATCCACGAGGCTCAGGGTGTGCAGGTCCCTATCTCTTGGGGGTCAGGATCCCAAGACCACCATAATTCAATGGCATTTTCCCCCTTCCTTTGCCTCTGAGCTTTTTTCATAAGGCAGAGAAAAGCTACCTTGTCAGTACATTCGTTTAGCTCTCAGTGGTTTCCTTTTCTTGGAAGAGCTCAGTATCCTAGGGTTCCTCAGTTAAATTCTTAATTCAGTTGCAAGGGTCAGATTTATTGTCTTGAATGGCATTCCTGGTGGTGGTAGGTGGGGTGGGGGCTCCACCTGGGGCCTAGTACTTTCTGCCTGGGCTGGGATGAGGTTGGCAGAATCACTGGCACCTGGCTCAGAGATACCTGTTCGCTCTTTCTTCTGAGCACTGTTCCCCAAGCCTAGTGGGGCTCCGCGTGGTGTGACCCTCAAACCCCAAGCAAGAGGTGGCTGGCTGGCTGAGGCCTGGAAAGGAAGCGGCTTCCACCAAGAAGGCCTGGCAACAGAAAGTCTTCCCATGGCCTCCACCCAAGAAGCACACCTGCCAAGGGTCCCAGAGGCCCTGGCACTCCTTAACCACGCTCTGATTCAGAGCCCACTCCCCTCCCAGGCCCTCAAGCCCAAGCATCAGACTGAGCCCAGGATGGGTCTAGTCTGGACCATGGCTTCAGGATAGAGGCCCTGGCAACTGGGTCCATGGTACCCAGGAGGACAACAGCTAGAAAGGTTTTCCAGAACGATGTGCCTTCTTGGCTCATCATTGGAGCTCTGCCCGAATTCCTCAGACTCATGCACCAGGCCCTGAAGACTCTTGGAGGGCCAGGATGGAGTCTTCAGGGGTGGGTGAGCCTGTCAACTCCTGCAGACCATACCCGGACACTCGGGAGGCACGGATTTGGCTGATCATCCTAATGTTTTCAGTGCATCCAGATCGTCCCTTAAGCATCAGACCCCAAGAAACAGAATTAAGCAAAACCCTACTTTTCAACTACAAGACTTCTCTACAAGGACAAAGAAAGCATGGAAGGGACCACAACACTAAATGCAGGTGCTATCAATCACACCTGGGGAGGACTGAGGTAAGAGGAATGTCCACATTCTCAGTAATTCATTTTCTCACATAATTTCCCTCAAATGTGTTGGACTAGGTGATGTGACATAGAATGAAGGAAACATGTTGGCTCTGCTCAGGATTCTTAATAGAGAGCCACTATGACCCAAAGGCCATAAATTCCAGGAGAAAATGTGTAAACTACATTTAACCATTTCCAAGAGAAAGACAAAAATGCCAGTGAAGGCTTCCTCTCAGCTGTCAGCCAGCCTGCGCCTCAGGGGCCCCTTGTTCCCAGGTGGCCTGCTGTTGGGCCAGGCCAGGTGGCCAGAGTGTTTGCTCTCCAGGGCTCAGGCTAACAGGAGCCGGACACAGAATGTGATACCTAATTATAACAGTGACCTCTACTCTGGAAGGCTCCTGAGGGAGACCAAATTGCATCTGCAAGAATAAGAAGATTTCCAGACAGCCAAGCAGGGAACAGCATTTAAGGCCAAGGAAAGAGCAGGAGGAGAGGCCCAGAGGAGGCGAGAAAGGGTGAGGGGCAGATGAGTGTAACAAGGTGCTGAGGCTAGAGGGGGGCAGGTGGATGAGGTGGTACTTGGACACACCTGGGTCTGAAGATCAGGAGCCATGGGCAGAGCTTGAAGGGGGTCCCTAAAGGACTGATCAGCATTTTGGAGCCCAAGAGTACCTCTGCGGGCTACAGGGAAGAGGATGTGGTTGGGGAGGGAGGGCTACGGCTGGACGCACCGTTAAACTCCTCGCCTGAGAGCCAAGGCCTGGTGCTCTCCAGGGAGGGCAAGCTGGGTAATGAGAACCAAAGGCTGCCCTGAGCTCACAGCTAGGGAGACATTTTACTGCCCCAACCCAGGGAGGGCTGGACCTGGTGGGGTGTCTCGGTTTTGGAAACTGTGTCACGCAGCCACTGCTGAGGAAGGCCTTGGGTACCCAGTGACCAGCACCAGGGGTCTCCTTCTGGAGGGTGAGTCCCTCCCTCAACCTGCTACCCTGCCCTGGGTGGACGGAGACCCAGATGGCTCCTGGGGGTGGGAGGGCTCTGATTTGAAGCACTTGCCGATTTCTGTGGTGTAAATACTCTCACCATGGCGTACATCTCTCTCCCAGCGTGACATTCCTAAGCACAGTCACATGCACTGTACATTGGCTCCTGTGAGCTGGGGCAAGCAGTTCCAGCCACCTTGCATTTAAACAATAGCCCAGGATGGCTCAAGTGAAGGCGTGTGTGGACACATTTTAGGAGACAAGACGGAAGGCCACTGAGTTCTATGGAAGGCCCCTGGGACTTGTCATCTTTTCTGCTCCTGGGCATAACATTTATGGAGTAAGCACCCACAGGCTTGTCTTTTGCTCCTGCCTGCCCCCCACCCTGTGAACTTCCCATCTGAAGCAGAGCAGCGACTCTGAATTTAGGACAGAAAGTCAGCCTGCCTCATTTCCAATTCTTCGCGAACAAGCAGACGGAGGTGCCCAGAGGAGGGGCTGTAGCCAAGATGTTGTCAGACTCCCGCCTCAGCCCAGGCCTGCAGTGTGTACAGGGCAAAGATGGCTCTCGCCTGGGTGCCACTAGCCTCATGGGGCCAGGATCTCTTGCCCTATCCTTCTTCAGGGAAGGCTGGGGCCCCAGGAATCATCTTCAGAAACAAGAGAGGCGGGGAGCAAGCCCGTGAACTTGGTGGGGGAGAGCAGCCCCCTGTGCCACATTTCCTGACACGTCCTGCACAATAATCTCAGCCCCATCCAGTGGCAAAACGAATGCCACCAACTGACACTCAAACAAATCTACCTGCCATGCTGTCAGCTGATGCTAAGGGGCCATAGAGTCCCTGCATATCCCTCCTCTGACATCAGGAAAAGAGAGAAAAGCAGCCCCTTCAGCCCCCTTCCCACATGGTTTTGCCACAATTCCCAAGAAAACAAGCTAGGGTCAACTGTGCCCATCCCCTAAAGGTGGCCCATCACATGGGACAGTCAGTAAAAGCCAGTTCTGGTCCATCTACACCACTAGCTGAGGCCCCCAACACCCTGCTTAACTTCCCTGTGTTCTTAGAGCCATGGAAAAGGAAGCCACCAGCCCCGCAGAGCCACACAGGCTGCCAAGGGTGAGCCGCTGGCCCACAGGCTCCCCAGACAGCAGATGACCTTCAATCATGTCACTTGTTGGTTGGATAACCAGCTCTGTGCCAGGCAGGCCCGGAGCCATCTCAGGGCCAACGCCAGGATGCAATGATCCAGGGACAGCTATGGCCGTGGGCCCCGGGGGTGGGGGTCCTCGCAGGACAGGGGGCGAGGAGCTGCCTCCGCACACATGTGCCTGCTCGGGCTGTACCTTGTTGAGCTCCCGGAGCTTGCTCTTGGCTACAGCCGCGTCTTCCTGCTCTGTGGCCAGCAGCTTTTCCTTCTCTTCCAGCTGGCGTTTCAGAATTGCCACAGGGTCACCCTTCTGAGTGGCCTAGAAATGCCCACAGAGACTCGTTAACAGGGAAGGACAGGTGGGGTTCGTCCTCCTCCACTGCAGCCATCAGACAAGAGCTGAGCCCCAGCGCCTGATGAAGCAGGAACGAGGGCCGAGCAGAGTGGGCTCCACTAACTCCAGACCCTTGTCGGAAAAAGGTGGCCCTGCCTCAGCCCTTCAGGACCAGTGTGTGGAGGCACTGTTAGGGCCAAAGGCTGTGGATCCCTGGGGTCATGTTTAGGAATGTGGCGTTTCCAGCCCCTCTGGGGGCAGCTGACCGTCACTTCTGGCTTGGAGACCATCCCTGAACCAGCACAGACTGTAGGCTGCTGGCTGTAACATGGAAGCCGGGGCAGAGTACTCTGGGGACAGTGGCCTGAGCTGAGCCAGGCCTCTCTCATGGTCGTCATGACCTCTTCTGGCCATTTATGGCCAGGAGAACCCCAATGCTCACTGAATAGGTACTTTCATCACCACTGAGATGCGTGTCACGCCCTAGTAATGGCCAAGAGAGGAGTAACTCCAGGGGCCTCAAGGCAGGGGCCCCCAGCCTGGCTCTCTGGACACAGCCCAACATCTCTAAGCACTAAACTCTCCAGCAAAATTACCCAGCATCCTGACTCTGGTTAAGGAATAACTACATGCCATGCAGTGCTTCTTGGGAACAGTTTGCTGGCCAGAGGCACCAGAGCCTGCCCAATAGCACAAGGGGCATCAGGGTGCTCATCACAGGTTCTCTCACACACCTTCCTTTCCACACTCAACTATGGCCACAAACCTGCTGGGCCTCCGCTGCTGTGTTCTGCCCCCAGCAACCCCTGCAATGCAGAGGCCTGCTCCTGCCCCTAAGAGCCTTCCTGTCTCAGTGGCTGGGCCACGGCTGGACTGGCAGAAGCCACAGCATTTGTAGGTGACCTATGTAGCCAGAACCAGGTAGGGGGCATTGGGATGGAGAGAAGATTCTTCTGGGAAAGAGCAGAGAAGGCTGTTTTATGAATGCTCTCTGCAGCTTGGTCAGCTGGCTGCGGCCAGCCTAATGGGAATCTCCCGGAGGTGGGGGCAGGACCCAGGCAACCACTGCGGCTCTCCCCAAGGGGGAGAGGGGGAGGGAAGGACAAAACTGCCCTGCCAGTGCAGCGGCCTCGGGATGTGGCCAGTGAGAGGTGGGCCTACCTTATGCCAGGTGTCCTGAATGATGCCAGCCTTCTCAGACAGGATCTCGATGAGCCGCTGGGCCTCTCCCTCGTTGAACACCATGCTCCCAACCGTGGAGACCAGCGTCTTGTAGGGGAGGTAGAGAGGGCTGTCGGAATCTGGGGGCCCTGTGCAGCAAGAGAGCAGGAGCAGAGACTCACACTCAAGCAAAAAAAATGATAGACATAGCAACAAAGCCCATCACAAAGCCAAGGAAAACTCTGCCAAGGAGAGCTCGGTAGCACTGCCGGGGGCACAGGGAGCATGCTCTGCATGTTTCTTGCTCTTTCAGGGCACTGCAAAATTGACTGAACAATGGGCCCTTGCACCATTCCTAACTTGCCCAAATAAAGTCCAAGCCCAGGCTAGGAGTAACATCTCTCCTTTTTTATCATCAAGATGACCCTGAGCAGAATTATCCAAGGCACGCTCTTCCCAAAGGTTTTTTCTTCCTTCTTTTTCCAGCAAATGCCTTGGTCTGATTCTTGCCCTGCATAGCAAGGTTCTCTCACTCATCTGTGACCAAGCCTTGTGGCCCTATGACCCTGACTGACCAACAAATCCACAGTCCACCACACACACAGATGCCCAAAGCCAGGCCCCGGTGACCCCAGGAGGGCATGGAAGGCACGGGGGGCTGCTTCCCCACACCTGGCTCAAACCCCCCATCTCTGACCCTCCCTGACTAAAGCTCAAGCAGTGACAGGCTGCAGGAGAGGGAAGCTGGGCTACGTTCTTCCAGAACGGGCCTGTCCACTCGCCAGTCCATGAGTGACATATCGCCTGGAGAACACAGAGCCATCTGCCAACAACCGTCACTTCTGAAAAACTAAAACTGCCAACCCCCTCCCATCTTGCACACAATCTTGCTCTCATCATGGCAAAAAAAGGGTGAACTGAGACACCTCACCCAAACATCGGGCACTTACTTCAGCTGGGACCAGGATTTGCCCCACTGCTGAATGACAGGGTCAAGAATGAACCGAAACAAAGAGCGCAGCCCGGCCTGCAGCAGCACCCTCTGCCAAGCCCACCTTGGGAAGACATGGATGGGGACGGTTACCATAGCAACCCTGGATTCTCTGGCTTGTCACAATATTTACACTTACTAGTCACAATATTTTCATTACAAGTCAAAGCATTTAGCATGATCCCTTACTAAGGGGAATGTGGGACGTGGGCGAACTGGTTGCTATGAGCACCTTTATTTTTTGATAACTTCTTACCTCGGCAAAGCTGGAGAGATTAAAAACAACCATATCCACACAGGGAGGCCCAAGAGCTCGAGGGAGCCATGGAACTGAGTCCTGACAGGCCCCATCAGCCTTTCTTTATATTGAAATGTTTGTATATATAACATAATTTTAATAGTCAACTTACGCACACTAGAGCAAATTCTGAGTACAGCTAAGCCAAAAGAAAATAACCTCTCAGGAGGCTCCCTCTCAGGAGAAACCCCCACTGCCCCACATCAAGCACGCTCACAGCTGACGCTTTCTGGGAAGGGGGAGACCAGTGGCTTGAAAGGCACCACTGCAGTCACAGACGGAGCAGGACAGCTCCTTAGCGTGTGTCCGGCTGACAGCAACAGGACATTTTCCTTTCCTGGCTCAGAAAGGTCTGCTCCTGCACCATCCGATGTGCTGGCCACCAGCCACACGTAGCTAAGGAGGACCTGCAACGTGGCTAGTGTGACTTGAGAGGTGCTATGAGTGGAAAGTACACACAGGATTTCAAAGACTTGGTATGAAAAAAAATAAAACACCTGTAATAAGTTTACATGTTGACTGCATGCTGAAATGATAACATTTTGGATAAACTGAGTTAAATGAAGTTTATCACTAAAATTCAGTCCATTTGTTTTTTTGTCTGTCTTTTTTAATGTGGCTACCTAGGAACATTTAATCATACATGTGGCTCACACGTGCAGCTCGCACTGTATTTCTCCTAGACTGGCTGGTCTGCTCCTTTCTGGCCCTGGGGACCCTGAAATCACCCCCTGCTGAAATTCTGGCAGCCCCGTCCCTGCAGAGGCCCGAGGGTGATCGAAGGTCTAGCATCTCTGAAACTTACTCCTTAAAGACCCCACTACTGCACTGCGAGGAGGGAAAACATCTGGATAACGGGGTTGGAGGACACTTCGCTAGAGAAGGAAGTATCCTCCGCTACTCCTACACAGGCATCAACCTGGCCATATGGCCCCTACTGCACGCTCTGTCTGTCCACAGACCAAGAGTACTCTGAAAGGGACGCTCTAATAAACCTTTATTAAAACGTTCTTAAATGTAATTATTAATATATTAAATTTTATTAGATATTTTAATTAACAAAATAATAAAACTTGTAACAAGTGAAACAAATACAAAGCTATGACAGCAAAATGTAACAATTTCCTCTGCACGCTACCCCCTACAGAAACTTTTGCAGCCTTCTCCGTGCTCATAAAACACTATCTTCTGAATTATTCTCAAAGAGCCATAATTTTACAAAATACTTCTCATTAAATCTTTTAGGTAAGAACCGTGCCATCTCTAGTCTCCCCAAAACAAGGGCAGCAAACTTGAAAGAAAGAAGAAATGTACGCAGAAGTAGGAACCCAAATTCCTGGGCCCCTGGAAGTCACATTTAAAGAATGTACTAACAAGAGCCTAACATGTGCTGCCACATCACTCATGTCTCCAGCAAATACTCGAAGACTTCAGTAATCCTTGTGAAATCTTAAGACACTATTGTGAAATCTTAAGACACTAAAGTAAATCTGTCAAAGACTCAACTTCTAGATTTCAAAAAGACCATAGGGCAGTGAATCCTACATGACACCGGCACACTGAGGGGATGTGCCCTGCCAACAATGCTTTGCCTGTTTTGATAGGTCTAAATATCAGGAGGGGCAGGCCCGGAGGCCTGGGGAGGAAAAAGGGGGCAGGACAGTACAGAGTAGAGACGCAGCCAGTGTCTCACCGTGATGGCATCATCCAAAGCCCTGTCTGGCAGGGCACACAGTGACAGCCCAGGGGCTAGAGACCCTACAGGGATGGGACAGGTGCTGTGACATCACCACAGTGGCCTGGGCTCAGAGGGCAGCCTTTTCCGAGCTGGGTTTCCCTAGGCATGTTACTGTACTTCCAGGTGACAGCTTCTGTGGGGAAATCTGGGCCAGAACCCTCAGGGCTGCTGACTTGTCCAAGAGACTGGAAATGAGATTTTTATATACCATCTCCTCACCTTTAGTGCTGACAACTCGATAACAAATGAATGAATAAAACCACTGTACACATGAAAGATCACATCTGTGGGCCAGGTCCAGTGTGCAGTCACCTCTGTCCTTGGGTTAGCAAAGCCTCTGGAGCCAGGTGGCCTGGGCTGCAGTCCCAGCTCAGCTCCTTCCCACCTATGTGCCTTGGACAGGTGGCTTACCCTACCTTTGCCTCTACTTCCTTGCCCGTGGAATGGAGATGATAACCCTTCCTCCTTCATGGCCTGGCTGCAAAGATTAAGTTGCAACATGCTTGGAACAATGCCGGGCACAAGGCAAAGCACTGCAAAATAAATCAACAGGACCAGCACCCCTCCCCCCCCCTCCCGCCATCTCCTCAATAGAGCAACTATGCCCTCTCTCTGCTCTCACCAGTGGAATGGAAAAGTCACACAAAGGTGGCCTTCAGAAGCTGGCCCTTCCAAGGACAAACCTGTCCAGGGAGATGCTGGGACAGAGCACCACAGCCTGGGAACCCTCTTGCTCCTGCCTGGAGCCATTGTCCTTACTCGAAATGCTAAAGGGGCAGCGTTTTAGGTAAGACGAGCCCTCTGCCTCCCAGGGATCTCATCTAAGCAGCACATAGGCGCTCAGCTGAAGTGCATAACACCTCAAATTTCAAAATGACTGACCCTTCTGCAACCATACAGAAAAGCTTAATCACCTAAAATTAAACTTGCCTCACATGCGGCACTTATGAGTCTCTTTTTCCCTCACTGTCAACCATGGGGTCCTTTAGGGAGACTTTTCTTTCTGCATAATTTCCAAGGTTCCCAACAGCTGGGTCTCAACCGATGGAGGAGAGGCTCAACCACAAGGAGACTCAGGAGACTCAGCGCCCCCCAGTGTCCAGCCCCTGGAATGCTCCTGCACTGCTCACACCTGCTCACGCAGCCAACAGGGAGGGCGGCAGAACTAACTGCCCCAGGAACTGCCTCTGGAGCCTGCAACAGCTCGTGGGTATCGCCTGGGCCCTAGGATGGGCCTGACTAAAGGGTGCCCAGCACTCCTGCCCAGGGCAGGCAGGTCCAGACGCAAACTATGTACCTACTATGTACCTGGTAGTCTGTAAAATGAGAGATCTGGAAAGGCAAGTCAGAGGTGGGACTGTTTGCAGCTAAGAGAGGTACAGCAGACAGAGCCACCATGTAACAGTGACACAAAGGGGACGTGGGAAGTGACTATGGCAGCAACACCGGGAAAGCCTTTAAAGTAGGGGTACTTGAGGCAAGCACCATGCAGTAAGGAGGTGGTGAGGGGCTTTGGGAAAGGAATAGCACAGGAAAGGCTGACACTTGTAAGGACCTAGTTAGTCGGATTTGCAGCCAAGGCTGGAGTAGGTCCAAGTCTTCACAGGTTCCAGGAATCCAGATTTTATCCTGTAGACTACAAGCAATGCCTAGAAAGGAGTGAGGTGTGAACTCAAGAAAATGATTTCAGGACACTCAGAGGGCCAAGGCTGGAGGCAGGCAGACCAGGGTCCAGGCCCAAGTATTTAGGAAGCTGAGCTGGGAGGAGAGGCCCACGTGTCAAGCCAGGGGCTCTGACAATGGAATTAGACACGGGGAATGGTCTTGAGGGCTGGGAGAAGAACTCCAACAGCCAAGACACTTGTTTTCTTAGGGACTGTCCAGACCATATCTGAAGGCCTCTCTCCTGTCAGATGCAGGCCACAGCTGCTGTCTCCAGCCCCTGCATCAGGGCTACCCTGGACAGAGCAGACCAGGAGACCCAACATGGCTGACCCCACAGGAAGAAAGCCAGATTTCAACCTCGGTGTGCCTTCCAGGCCCTGCAGTCCCCAATCATCCCAGCCAAACTTGAGTCTGCTGTGAGAAGGCGAAGTCCCCAGGAAGGGCTTCCCTGTGCCTC